CTAAGCTCAAACCAAGAGAGCAGGTGACATTTTAAAAAGATATTTAATAAAACTTAGCATCCAGTCTGGGGGTGGGTGGACAGCGGAAACGTGTATTTGATGTGAAAGGTCACATGTTCCGAAATGTAAGCACTCTACAATTTTCTTTTGATTGAACTGTATCTGCAGCTTCCTTCACAGTTAAAGGTGTGTGGTATTAATATTTTGACTTCAATAGCCAAAGACACACTGACTTATGGAATATTCTAATTGTTAGCTAAGCAAGCCTGGAAAAGTTCGACTGGGAGGATTAAAGTCTCTCCCAGTTCATCTCTATAGTATTCCTCTTGCAAGTGGAAGGTCACCTGTGTCCTCTGAAGAGCGCAGCTTAAAACTCTAAGGCACCTATAACTTGGAGGGTGGGGTGGTGCCGACAGCAGCCTCCTGGTTTTCCTTACAGCAACAACAGCCAAAAGCAACTGGTTACACCCTAGGCTTCAGAGGAGCAAGGAATGTGTTCCTGTGTGCCAGCACAGATGTTCTCAGCATGTCTGGGACCATTCGAGATTCTAAGTGAACCTATGCAAGTGTCTTTATCCTGTCTATGTCTTGAGGTCTCCTCTGTAAAATCTAAGAGACCATTTAAAAGTTTTGGGATCCTCAAACTAAAAGTAATTTCTAGAGAACAACTTTAAAGACATAATTCTAGAGATGCTTTGATGTGATCAGTGAATTTAACGAGAGACACGCAGGCTACTCAGCCCCAAAATTTTAGACAGAAAAAAGTAAACTGGGATAAACCAAAGAAAAGACACCACGTTACATCTCAGAAGTACCCGGACCATATGACAAAGATGTGATATTCCAAACAGAACCTCTCTCTTCTTCTCCTTCTGCTCCTTTCCCTTTGTAGTTTGCAGACATGGTTATGACTTCACTCCCAGGCTCATTGGTGTGATGAGCATCTATCTCTTTTCAAGGGACAATTAACTGTCTTTTTAAGGACTTGCATGTCAGGTAACTCACATGGTGGTTATTTTTGTTATTCCCCACAAAAGGAATTTTATGACATAAACTGATACAAATATTTTCTCCTTTCTCACTGCTTTCTAAATCTAAAACTTAAAAATAAAAAACAACCGCCACAGGATTAAAGAGAATCAAAAAAGTTTTTTCTGTGTTTTTCAAGTTCTCTAATTTATTACACACTAAAAATCTCTTTCAAACTGGCACCAAGGTGGCTTTTCTTCTTGAGCTGATTAGGACCACATGAGCTCAGGAAAAGCTGTCAGATCCTGCCTCTGGCACAGCTGGAATGATCCAAGTGATTTACCAACAGGACTTTTTTTTTTTTTTTTTTTTTCCAAAAAAGAAGCTTCATCCCAGAGTCACAAATTTATATTCTGGAGGCACAAGCAAAAAGTACTTCTTGTTCATTTTTTAAAGAAGCTAAATTCCATTATGATTTCTTTTTTCTTTTTTTAAGTTGGAGTCTCACTCTGTCACCCAGGCTGGAGTACAGTGGCTCAATTTCAGCTCACTGCAACCTCCGCCTCCCAGGCTCAAATGATTCTTGTGCCTCAGCCTCCCTAGTAGCTAGGATTACAGGTGCATACCACCACACCTGGCTAATTTTTGGATTTTTAGTAGAAGCAGGGTTTCGCCATGTTGGCCAGGCTAGTCTCAAACTCCTGGCCTCAAGTGATCCACCTGCCTTGGCCTCCCAAACGTTATTTCTTTTACAAGATCTCTTGCAAACCAAAAGCAACTTGGGTGATGTTTTGGTAAATATTTTGTCCTGACTCTGCACTGTATCTGTAGTTATCTAGTTTCCCGCTGGCGCCTGGGGGGTCTCATTCAGAAAACACTAATCCCTAGGAAACAGTTATGATCTAAGACCAAGGAAGAATGTCTACCCTTTAGGAATTCTGTCTGTCAGACTGGCCCAAGGTAAACCACAAGTCAGGTCAAACTTGTCTTCTTCAGCTGCCTATGGTGGGCTCCCAAACCTGCTTTGTGATATTCACCACAGAAAGTCAAGGGCGATCAAGTGGCTCCCTGACACCCCAAGGAAGCCCAAGGAGGCCTTGAGCAATTCCCTTCCCCTTCAGTCTTTTTTTTTTTCCTTTGAGACAGAGTTTTATTCTTGTTGCCTAGCCTGGAGTGTAATGGCGCAATCTCAGCTCACCATAACCTCTGCCTCCTGGGTTCAAGCGATTCTCCTGCCTCAGCCTCCTAAGGGATAACAGGCATGCAACCACCATGCCAGCTAAATTTGTATTGTTAGTAGAGACAGGGTTTCCTCACATTGGTCAGGCTGGTCTCGATCTCCTGACCTCAGGTGATCCACCTGACCTCAGGTGACCTCGGCCTCCCAAAGTGCTGGGATTACAGGTGTGAGCCACCGCACCCGGACCCCCTTCAGTCCTTTTACAGATACTGCCTCACATCAGAAGTCACCTGTCCTGCCTCTCTCACATTTAGGTCTCCTCTCTTTGCTAGCTGACCTTTGGCCTGGGTAATAAAAAAAAAAAGTTGTATTATTGTATTCATGGGCCCTAACAAATGAATGCTGGATCTATCCTCTCAGGAAACACACATCCACTTAAGCAGACCCAGAGTTATCCCACCATAACTCAAAAAGATGACACCATACAATCTCTTAGCAAAGAAGCCTTTGGGCCCCCTTCGCTACACCATGGAGGTCAAACATTTGGCTGGATATCCATTTCCAAACTGGGATTTTATTAAGAGAAAGTATTATCAGGAAGGAGGTGGGCTGATCCTTACGTTGATTCTGCAGATTCTAATTTGATTTTGTAACTCCTTTATCCCTTTGCCCCTTTCTATACTTTGTATACTGGAGATAATTCTTTTTAAAGTGTTGCCTGCTTTTGTTCAAATTCTAGTCTAGAACTCCCAGGCAGGCTGTGCTGATCTGGCCTGCCATCTCAGTGTAATCTTCATGTGATTCTAAAAAGCGTTTCTTAGTCTCTTTGCCTTTGTTCAACATACTAGAACCAGTTGGAATTATTCCTCATTTTGGATACAAAGCAGACAGATTTATACCCCCAACCACTGACTGGGGTGCTGGAAGTTTTCTCTGTGAAAATAGTGGACAGAATTATATAACCCATCGTTCCTTATTAATAGTGAACCAGGCTGAGAGGATTTGAATAAAAGCACATCTTGTTGCATGCAACAATGGTTTGACAGAAGAGCTGTATGGCGGAGTTAGTATTTTACTGCTTTCAGCTTCACCACGCGGTTTTGTAGCCTGGGAAGCCGTGCATGCAGAATGGCAGAATTTACAATTGCCTACAAAAGCAGAGAACAATGCAACCTGTGGAGCCCCGCCACCAAGAGAAGGTGACAGTCCGGGCCTGAAAGACACTCTGAACTTGTGAGCAGTTCCAGAATGAAACTTGTTATGATTTGAAACATTCATCAAAGTAAGGCTTTTTCAACTCACAGTTAAGACATAATTACCAGATTTTATAACCGCCCAGTTAGTGTGCTGCAAGAAAAAAAAAAAAGGAGAATGGAAGAAAACCTTCCAAGTTTATATGTTTATGGATATAATTGATGGACGTGTGATTTTTGAGCACTTTCAGAGCCAGTAAAATGGCTAATGATGAGAAGAGCTTCAACAGCCTTAAACACAGCTCTTTTCCAAAGTGACTTCCCTTTACACCCATCCACCCCTCTAAAAAAAAAAAATCTAAATGTACTTCATGAAACTATTGTATATGAAGCACTTATTAGCCGTAATTAAATGGACAATATGAATTTACTACATCTTTAGGACTCTGGCTTGTTCTGGTTTAGAGCAAGATGATTAATGCAAATACATATTACTTGAGATAACCATTTAGCAGCTAATTTAGCCAAATTTATTACAGCAGTTAGAGGTTTTTCATTTTAGCAGACGGAGACAAGGACATGCCAAAAATGGGCGACGTAGATGAGTGCACACTGCCCTCTAGTGGCCAGCCAGCCGGTGAGCTTTTGGGGGGCGACGAGTTGCTGCGATCCGTATCCAAGTAATAACAGCAGGTTTTCCACATTTCCGGCACCCTTTTAAACCATTCCCATCCACAGCACTTTATTTCAGGGGATGATTTACTGCACTTTCCCCTTTTACTAGCTCAGGAGTACCCAGATACAAATCAAATCAATTTCAACTTGGCGAGATTTTGGTTAAAGTATCATTTTTAACATCTGCATTTTAAAGCTTTCTTTCAGTGGATATTTAATGGCACCGTTTCACATTACTGATTGTTTTTACTTGTTCCTTCATTTGGGGCCATATTTCAGAGTCTGTGTGGAGCTGTCACTCTGTTTGGCTCCAGCCAAGTCAATTCTGTGCCTCCCTTAGGCCAGTGCTTCTCTCTGACTCCACTGGGGAATTTATTTTGTTCCAACATTCAGCAAAGTCTCACCAGAATCTCCCCCGACTGACCAATATAAATTTAGTTCATCCAAGGACTGTAAATTCTGTTAGACAAGATCAAAAGGGACAGACATATAAGGATGTGGGTTGAGATTGCTCACACTGAGGAGAAATGATCAAAAATGTGGGGTAAAGCATCTTTGAACTCATTCAAATATCCAGAATCTCAAAGAGGTCTACCTCAAAGCTATGAATACATCACATACAAATTTGCCTTTCTTACCATCTGATGTCGAACCCATTGACAATATCCACACCGCATTAGATGTTCCGTGAGCCAAAAAGATTTGTAGTCTTTTCATTCTTTTCACACCATGGCTGCCCAAAACAGAATGAAGTCCTGCTACAAATGCCAGTAACCCTGGCTCCAGAGCTGCCGCCTCACTGAATTGCTGATTTCATTTGTCCTTCTAATGGCATTCTATAGTAAGCATACAGAGGGCCACCCCTGACTTGGTGCAGGTCCTCCCATTTTTAGGCTTGAGGTTTTGTAGAGATTTAAAAAATAAAAAGTTATTTGATCCCAGTCTTAATACAATGCCTCTGTTTGGTTTTGTTTTCTCCCCAGTGCTGAATAAGGGTCAGTGTGTGACAAAGTACTATCGTTGGATGCAGAAGAATGGAGGATATATTTGGATACAGTCCAGTGCCACCATAGCTATTAACGCCAAGAATGCAAATGAAAAGAATATCATCTGGGTGAATTACCTTCTTAGGTATATTTTTACTTCTTTTCTATTTCTGTCCCGGCTGTAGAATATGCAGCCCTATGGTTAATGGCTGACATGTCGTATTACCTTTTGACAGTACCTAGGGTGAAATTTCATGGCAATTCTGCTGTTGTTTCTACAAGATTCAAATAAATGTGAGAAGATTGAACTATGTTGGAAGGGACTTGCAAGATTTTCAGTAATTCTTGGTCTGTCAGCATTTGGGCATCTCTGCAGAAGTTGCTTTGGTTTTCCCAAATGCTTAGGCCAGAAGGACATAAACCTTGGCCTACAGCTGAAGCATTCAAAAAGTATCTCCTCATCCCCCCCAACACCCCCCACCCCACGCCCCTCTGCCACACACACACTCACACACTGCAGTCCTTGTGAAAATTAAGTAAAAGCGAATGGGAGAAAAATGGCACAGAACATCCTATTCCTCTTATATTTCATCCCTTTAATGCCCTTAGCATATTACATAGGGTTTGGCTTCCCGGGCATTAAAGTTTTGGTAAACAAAGTGAGTTGCTTTGCCAGGATCAAGACAATAGTGGTATAAAACTGAAGACAATCTTTTTCTGGCCCACTGTGTTGTGATCTTGGGCAGGTTTTACTGCTCTTAAAATGTGTCCTTAATGTTATATCTACAAGTGAGCCCAAGCTTTCTAAATTCTGGTGTGAGACACCACTTCTCTCTCCTTCCCAATCTACTCCGCCTTTGGATTCAAACCAGCAGAAAAGCAACCAAGACCCACAGACTAGGCCATCTGAGTTTGGGGGCAGGCTTTCTAGAAGGTCCTCCACACATCCTGGCATGAAGCTATCACAGCACTTGGCCTGGCTCCTACCCACCCTCATCATTCTGGTCTTTGGTTTCTCCTGGGCTAAAGCCACCAAGCAGAGCTACACATGGTCTGAGCAGGAAAATTTCCAATAGGTCTTATGAATGGAAGTTGGTGCCCTTTGGCAGATGATTTAGACAGGGAGTACCCACTTTTCTTTGAGACAGCCAAATGGAGCTGAGAAGCTAACAACCATGGCTCATCAGCACACTGGCCCTTCCGAGTGTGTTCAAATACTTTGGTGGTGACTTGAAGGCATGAATGTGCTTGCTACCAACAGCATATCAATCAGACACTAATGATTATTGCTCTAGAGAGGGCCTTAATGTGCACCACTTAAAAGAGTCTTCATTTATCTACTTGCTATTTCCTTTTTTGACCTCTTCTGCTCTACATTAATTCTCTCTAAAGGTAAAAGTGTGTGTATTGAATGCGGCTTTCTCCAAGGCCTGTTTTCTATGCAAAGTCTCCCCCATGTTTGTGATGTGTTCAAGATGAGTTCTGATATCAAGGAATACTTGTACAGAGTTTTATGAAATAATTACTATATGCAATGCAGGTGGCTATAAAAACTCATCTGCCAGGCAGAAAACAGAATAAGGTCTTGTGGCACTGATATTATTTTGCTAGGCAAAATGATACTGTGACAAGGAGACCCATCGCCATTAAGAATTAAATGCTAATAACAGGCACCCTGGGGCTAGCAGTGTCTGTTTCCCATGTTTATGAAACATAGGTACTGAAGTCATCTGTGGTTTTAGTCCCATTCCATGAGATTTCTTCCTATCTGGATCTTTCCTACTGCCTCATCTGCCTCATGACTTCCTCCTCTGCCCACAAATGCAAAGAGTAAGAAAACTTAAGTAGTCAATCTCCAAATACCATTGGTCTAGCCTAGGATCAGATGGTACACACTCATGAGCTTTGGTGATTCTAGTCCATCAAATCCATATGGATAGGAAGGAAGTTGAGGTATCAAAGACCAGTCTTCAACCTCAAAAGCTTCAGTCTCAGGCACAGAAGACCTGTTTCAGCTGACCTAAACACCCTCCCTGAAGTCAGTGATAAGGGACTGTAAGTTGAAGGGCAAGTGATCTGTGAGCCCCCAAAGACTAATGTAGATGGGCTTTAGCAGGGGAAACGCCACCAAGATAGCCGTTCACTGGTATCACTTCCATAGGCTAGAGATCTAGGAAGAAAATGATGTGGCCCTGGCAAAACAGCAACTGCAGAAGTTTGGTTTTCTCTCCCACATTGTCTTTCGTTCTTCCCTGAGTAATACTTTCATGTCACTTCCTCCTTCCCAGACCCTTGCACCTGGGCCCCAATCCAGGTTTGTCCTGCCCTGTTCTGAAATCACCACTCGTCCAGTCTTCTGCCCATTCCGTCATAACACTTAACTATAGACTCAGAGTATTTGGAGCCGGCCTGGCGCGCGGGCCAAGTCCACCTTCCCACCATTAGTCTCATCTGATTATGCAGGGAAAGCTTTGCCGCTGAAGCTAATTCACACTAACGAGTAAATGCCTGATAGTCCATTTTAGTGAATTACCCCTCCCAGGAACATTTGCACTTTTAGAGTAGTTACTGAAATGGTGACTCTTTACTATAGGAGTTTTGCTAGAGATTAGCAAATGAGTCAGTGATCATCAATTTTAAGTCTCTGCTTGGTTAGCCATCACAGAAAAATAGAAGAGGCATTTCCCATTTTGAAGCAGGAGGATTTCCTTGTGCCTTCAGATTACAGGAGCCTGCTCTCCTCATACATCCGTGGCCTTAGAGTGGCATTTCCAGAAGACAGGTCAAACTGGCTTAACATGCTCTCTCTTCCAGAAAAGCCTTGTTTCCAAATTAAAAATAGAATGAAAATTAAGCACATTTGTGCAAGTGAGGTTAGATCCTTCTGTTAGGGCCTCTTTCACACTGGGACTCTCCCCACTGCAATCAGATTTCCAGCTAACAAGCCACAGGTGTACACCACATGAGCAGATGAAAATGTGATTGTAATGGGTGTGTTAACAGTTCGGTAGCCATAATCCATGCAGCCCTCGGTGCACCTGTGCATCTGTCAGATCAAGGGCTCTGCTGCCCCACCAATAGTGTGGGAGCCATCTGAGCAGCTGAGAAGCTACATCAAGGGGCCAAGACAAGAGTACTGAGGCCATGGACTCATTAGGACCCCAAGAGAAGACAGGACACACCAGGAGGCATGGGAATGAATTGTTGAGGGTACTTCTCATCCTCCCTTCCCCCAGGTGTTACCCTGGGAGGACTGTCAAGCAGCACAGTTCCCTGACCCCCAGTGGCACCTGATTATTTAAAAGCTTCTACGTGGCTTTCATGTAGCGTTTGGATGTTTGATCATTGCAGCAGGGTGCACCTGTACCCTGGCACGTGCAAGCCAAGCTTCCGTAAAATCCCATGAAGAGCCGAGAAATGATTTCATGTTTAGTATTTGAAACTTTCTAAACTCCAGACGACTGGGACAAAGAAGTTGGGGAGAAGATGGTCCAAACAAACCATGCAGAATGGGTGTCTGCACTCCTGACTAATGCCTCCCTCCCACAGCAATCCTGAGTACAAGGACACACCCATGGACATCGCACAGCTCCCCCATCTGCCGGAGAAAACTTCTGAATCCTCGGAGACATCCGACTCTGAGTCAGACTCTAAAGACACCTCAGGTATTACAGGTATTATTCCTTCTTCATGTTCTGCAGTGATGGCTTCTCCACCACACACGGGGGTGGGCCATGGCCAGAGGGCCATCATCAGAGGCAAAGCAATTGGCCACATTTCAGAGAGACATATGTCACATCAAGTTATTACTGAGTCTCCTCCTCTCTCTCCACACACACACGCATGTAATTGTACACCACTACATACCTGTATGTACTATACATGTATATACATATAGGTATGTGGTGCTGTATAAATACATGTGTGTGTATATATATGTAGTTGTGTGTATATATCTACACGCAGAAGAAAGGGAGAGTGCTTTTGAGATCTGAGAGATCTCTTTTTAAAAATATACAGAAAGGCTGGGCACAGTGGTTCACACCTATAATCCCAGTACTTCGGGAGGCAGAGGTGGGTGGATCACAAGGTCAGGAGATTAAGACCATCCTGGCCAACATGGTGAAACCCTGTCTCTACTAAAAATACAAAAATTAGCTGGGCGTGGTGGTGGGTGCCTGTAGTCCCAGCTACTTGGGAGGCTGAGGCAGGAGAATCACTTGAACTCAGGAGGTGGAGGTTGCAGTGAGCCGAGATGGCGCCACTGCACTCCAGCCTGGCGACAGAACAAAATTCTGCCTCAAAAAAAAAAAAAAAAAAAAAAGAGAGAGAAAGAGATTGGTTGCTGTTAGCAATCACTTAATGTCAGTCCACTGGCCACACAGAGGAAGCCCTGCTCTAACCTCATAGCTAGCTCTTGGCCTCTACTGGAGTCAGGTCCTAGGGCCAGCTCCAAGACAGTCTGTGACTTTGAGCCCCAAATATTCACATTCTCACCGGGCTGGGACTGAGCCTCTAAAGTAGAATACTTAATGGACTCGATCAATGCCTCTTTCAGGGTGCTGGACTGTTACTTATTTCCTGAATCTGTGCAGAACTAATCCATGCATTTTCATTTCTTTTGGGGAAGCAGACTTCCTGAGTAGTTCTTTGGGACACAGGAAAGTTAATGTAAAAATTTGCTTTTTCTCCCATCCCCAGCTCTCTTCCAGAGACACACGTAAGGCCAGGGAGCACCAAATTTGTAGGATTTTACAGCTGCAAGTAAACCCTAAACCTCTTCTAACCCTACCTCTTCTGCTACAGAAGGGGAGGCAAAGACCACAGCTTCTAGTCTAGGCTGCCAGCCAGGCTTCCTCCGTAAATCTTCGGAGGCTGTGTTACTGGGAAAATCTATTCTCCCTAAAATGTGGGAGCTAGGTTTCCCTGGTATCATGAGGGTACCTGCGCTCCAGCATCATAAGCATGTGTCCCTTCCTTCCTCCAGACCCAGCTGCAGGGAGGCAGAAGGAGGGCCAAGTACTCAAGGCAGATCTTCATTGTTTTCCTATCCCTAAATTGCATTAATTCGAACGTTCTTGACAAAGACATAAAAAGTTACAGAATTGGTAGTCTCTGCCCCTTTTTAATGTAGTATGTAGTTGTGAACAAAACAAAAATTTCTAGCCCCAGTGAGCTTATATACTAGTAGGAGAAGAGACAAGTAAATAAAAATAAGACACCCAGTGAGGTGGCGTGGTGGCTCACGCCTGTAATCCCAGCATTTTGGGAGGCCAAGGTGGGCGGGTTGCTTGAACGCAGGAGTTTGAGAACAGCATGGGCAACATGGCAAAGCTCATGTCTCTACAAAAAATACGAAAATTAGCCGGGTGTGTGGTGGGCACCTGTGGTCTTAGCCACTTGGGAGGCTAAGGCTGGAGGATCACTTCAGCCAGCGAGGGCAAGGCTGCAGTGAGCAGTGACCACTCTGCTGCACTCCAGCCTGGGGGACAGAGGGAGACCCTGCCAATAATAATAATAAATAATAAAAATATAATAGAAAGAGGGAGAGTGGCTCTCAGTAATGAACAAATATTCACCAAGGGAAAGTGCAGACTCTAGAAAGTCACCTTTCGTGCCACCATTTTTCTGTGTCGCGCCTTATTCCAGGTTAGTTAACCTGACTCCCTCAGTATGTTTGCAGGACTTCTCAAACTCGAATGTGCCTGAGAATCACCTGGGGGTCATATTCCAATGCAGAACCTGATTCAATCTACCTGGGTGGGAGCACAGAGTCTGCATTTGCAACAGGTGGGCAGATGACGCCAGGGCAGCGGGTCCACGGCCGGCTCTTTGAGTAGCCATCCCGCTGATCCAGGCCCTCAGCCGAGAGAAACCCGGCTTTCAGTCCTCTGACGGTGATGGCGAAGCTGGTGACGAGCACCGACGCCTGCCCTGCTCCCGCCCCAGCCCCCGCGGGTGACAGGCCGCCTCGCCCCGCTAACTTGGTGTCTTCTCTCTTCTCTCCCCGCCCCGCCGGCCGCGGGCCCCACGCAGAGGACAACGAGAACTCCAAGTCCGACGAGAAGGGGAACCAGTCCGAGAACAGCGAAGACCCGGAGCCCGACCGGAAGAAATCCGGCAACGCGTGTGACAACGACATGAACTGCAACGACGACGGCCACAGCTCCAGCAACCCGGACAGCCGCGACAGCGACGACAGCTTCGAGCACTCGGACTTCGAGAACCCCAAGGCGGGCGAGGACGGCTTCGGCGCGCTGGGCCCGATGCAGATCAAGGTGGAGCGCTACGTGGAGAGCGAGTCGGACCTGCGGCTGCAGAACTGCGAGTCGCTCACGTCCGACAGCGCCAAGGACTCGGACAGCGCGGGCGAGGCCGGCGCGCAGGCCTCCAGCAAGCACCAGAAGCGCAAGAAGAGGAGGAAACGGCAGAAGGGCGGCCGCGCCAGCCGCCGGCGCCTGTCCAGCGCGTCGAGCCCGGGCGGCCTGGACGCGGGCCTGGTGGAGCCGCCGCGGCTGCTGTCCTCCCCCAACAGTGCCTCGGTGCTCAAGATCAAGACGGAGATCTCGGAACCCATCAACTTCGACAACGACAGCAGCATCTGGAACTACCCGCCCAACCGGGAGATCTCCAGGAACGAGTCCCCCTACAGCATGACCAAGCCCCCCAGCTCCGAGCACTTCCCGTCCCCGCAGGGCGGCGGCGGCGGCGGGGGTGGCGGCGGCGGCGGCGGGGGCCTGCACGTGGCCATCCCCGACTCGGTCCTCACCCCGCCGGGAGCCGACGGCGCGGCCGCCCGCAAGACTCAGTTCGGCTCCTCGGCCACTGCGGCCCTGGCCCCCGTGGCCTCCGACCCGCTGTCGCCCCCGCTCTCGGCGTCCCCGCGGGACAAGCACCCCGGGAGCGGCGGCGGGGGCGGGGGCGGCGGCGGCGGCGGCGGCGGGGGCGGCGGCCCCAGCGCTTCCAACTCCTTGCTGTACACTGGGGACCTAGAGGCGCTGCAGAGGTTGCAGGCGGGCAACGTCGTGCTCCCGCTGGTGCACAGGGTGACCGGGACCCTGGCCGCCACCAGCACGGCAGCGCAGAGGGTCTACACCACGGGCACCATCCGCTACGCGCCCGCTGAGGTGACCCTGGCCATGCAGAGCAACCTGCTGCCCAACGCGCACGCTGTTAACTTCGTGGACGTTAACAGCCCGGGCTTCGGCCTTGACCCCAAGACGCCCATGGAGATGCTCTACCACCACGTGCACCGGCTCAACATGTCGGGACCGTTCGGCGGCGCCGTGAGCGCGGCCAGCCTGACGCAGATGCCCGCCGGCAACGTGTTCACCACGGCCGAGGGACTCTTCTCCACGCTGCCCTTCCCGGTCTACAGCAACGGCATCCACGCGGCACAGACTCTGGAGCGCAAGGAGGACTGAGGCGCCGCCCGGCCTGGGCCGGGCCAGGCCCCGCTCGGAGGAGGCATCGTCGGCGTTTTCGTTTAGACCTTTAATTCTAGCACTTTGAATTCGAGCAGGTCAGCGTCTTCTCTCGCCACGACGGTCCCCATTCCATCCCCTCTTTCTTTCACTTGACTTATTCTTTCGTGTAAAGATATGTTTATTTTTTGCCTTCAGAGGGTCAGAAGACCAGTTGCCTGCCGTTTTGTCTTCTTCTAAGATGTGTGTTGGGTTGTTTTGCTTTCCTTTGCATCTTTATTAAGATGTCTTTCATGTGTATATGCCTCTGCCATAGAATACTCAGTCTTGTGGTCAAGAGATTTCTCAAGTGACAACCATTGGGGTTTCTTCGTAAAGATCTTGATATGATCAAGATGGAAAGAGACAAGCATAAACAATGTGCCCTGTTTGACTAAGTCAAATGAAATGGGGTGGTTTTTTGTTTCTGTTCCTAATTCCTTTAAAAAATAGGGGGAATAGTATTTTAGAATTTTATGCAGAATTTAATTCTCTTTTTACGGTTACGATTTTAAGATTTTCTTACTTGCACATAAAAATAATTTGGGTTCTTAAACTTAATTTCTGGCCTGTGACTAGAATGTTTAAAAAAAAAAGTTGGACTAAATGTTAATTACTGAAACATTAACTTAATTTCTAAAACCATGGTGCTATCATTTATTAATCTGTAATGTCTTCATACAAAATGCAGCTCCTGGGCTGGGTTTTGGGGGAAAAAACAAAATGTGTTCTGTCCTGGTCTGGAGTCCGTTGCTGCAGTCTCCTTGGTTAGTTAAGACAAAGCCCTCATTAACGTTTGCTGCAGGACTTAAAATTTTTTACCTCCCAACTAACAAACATAGCCTCACATTAAATTTAATGGGTCAGTAAAGCCCTTTTTAAAGGGGCTGTTGGAAAACTCAATCAAACTGATTTGAGGAGCATTTAGGTACATACTGCCTTTGTTTAGCTTTTTGTTTTCCTTACTCAGTCTAACTGAGGCTAATTTTGCAACTTCAATAACACTTCGGAGTAAAAGAAGGAAAATATTTAACATGGTTTTGAGTTTTGTTTTGTTTTTTGGGGTTTTTTTTTTTTCATTTCTTGCTTAAAAAATGGAAGGTTGTATTGTGGGGGACTGATTTGATTTGATGGAATTTCTTTCCCTTTGGTTCTTATTTCTGAGTTGAAACCAATAAGTTTTAAAACTAAAGAATGGGTTAATAAGCTTCAAACAGATAACTGCAACTGAAAACTGCACATTAAGTAAAAAAAAAGAAAAAAAGAAAAAGAAAAAAAATCCTATTTTGTCTTTGTTGCCAGAAATCAGTGTGGTGTCAAACACTCCAAATGACTGTCAAGTATAAATTCTTCTTCCACTTCATTTTTGGCAGCTGTTTGTTAAGGCATCTAATAACAGATGTGAGAACTGTAATGTGTACAATGTGTACGTGTCCTTGGCTGTCAGTCCCATTGCAGTTTCAATGTGTGTTTCTATATGCAGTATATACTAAGCTAATGTAGTTGTTTTGTCCTTTGTCTTCTCTGTGCTCTATCTCTAGTCCGGAGTGGTACAGTCCCATTCCTGCAGTCCTAGTGAATCAGTGATTCTTGGGGGTTAGTGGGTTTTGTGTGGTGGCCTTCCTCTGTAATGTCACCCTATGCTGCTTCTACTGTCTGTGAATCTTCCGTTTTACCTTTTAAAATTCCTGCTGTTGCTTTGCTGGTGTATATTCTCTGTACCTCTCCTCTCTTTCCCTCCCTTTCCCATCTCCCCCTCTCCCTCCTCTTCATCCCTTCCCCATCCCCCAAATCTCTTTCATTCTCAGAGATAAAAAGACTCTTAACTAGCTCAAGGTTAATGGAGCCATTTTTCCCACAACGGAATTCTGGGTATGACTCTCTCTTCTGGAGTGCAACACAAAGCACTGAAGAATAATGCTCAGATATAAATAAATTGATGCCATATAGCCTCAGTTGTTAACATTCCCAGAGTCCCTTGTGCTCTACCTATAAGCAGTGGGTGCTTTTCTTTGGTTTCCTTTCAGGTTGGCTGATGGAGCAATATATAAAGCAATTACCAGTGAGACAGAAAATTTTTTCAAAGGTCAACCAACATTTTTAAGAAACAAAATGGGAGGGGATAATGGAATCTAGAATTGTCATATATATTTGTTTACTAGTGCAATGCTAATATAGTAACTCGGCTGTCCTTTGAATGTCACTGTGTTGAGTAGATTCCTCTAGGACCTTTGATTACATGAGTTGGGCCCAAACCACGGTGGGATAAGAACAAAAAGAAGTTAAATGCCACAGATTTTAAAAGTGAGCTTACTTGAAGGATTGAAGTAGGTTTAGAAGGTGAAGAAGGCCGATGGAGAAATTTACAGATTAATTTTGGAAGCTCTACTCTAGCTATCGAACAATCAAAGGAATGCACCTATCAGCTACAAAGAACAGCTAGACAGCTGTTTTTTTTTCTTTTATAAATGTTTCTGTGTTGTGTCAAAATGATTTCTGGTGATTTAAACTAACAGATAATCACAGCTGCTGTCTAAATCCATAGTGTTTAAAATTACAAAATGAAAAAAAAAACACTTCATTACCTGTGAAGACTGTGTCTGTGTTTTTAACTATTTCTTGTACAAACATATGAAAACTTTTATGAGGAGACTGGTGCCAAGTAGCTGAATAATGGGGAAAGGGATATTCTGTTCGTAAAAATCTTAGCAGTGTTACCAACTCTACGATATATATATAAAAAAATTATTAAAACGTTACAAAGCGACAGCTATGGTACATTTGTTTTGTGTGAAGCTAACCGGACCTAACTTCCTGAGTGCCTGGCTTATTTTGAAACATTTTTTTTTCATTGACCATTGATAATGCTGCAAATCAGAAATGTACATACTTCATTTACAACAGGGTTCTTTTTATACTTTTGTAGATTCTCATACATGTCACATACATGGTTGTCTTTATGTAACTTAATTTTTTTCATCCGCAGGTGCCATTTTCATAATAAACTTCTCTTGGATTTGTTACTATCTGGCATCATTTCTTTTACATGTAATCATCCTGACTAATGAATGCTGGTAGTATTTGTTTAAGCAGGTACCTTGGTCATTATTCTTTATTTAAAAAAAAAAAAAAGTGAAAAAAATGCATTCATATTTTTGCTAGTTTTGGAAAAAATATATAGCTTATGTACTGATGAGGCTGACAAGGCACGGAATAAGATGCTAATCCAAATACTACACCAAACTGCAACCATCCTAAATTTCCAGCTACCCCAATTCATTGTCATACTGAGCATTATTATGCACGTTATCAAAGCTGAACAACGAGCCTGCAACATTAACCACTATGGGAAGTGTGCATTTTTTCTTGATTAATGCACAGTGAGGGATGGCAGTTTTCATACATTAATCATTTAAAATGCACTCGATATTTTCATTTATTACAATCTATAACGTATAACCAACTGTTCCATTGCTTATATCTTGTTTTTATACTAAATATGTATTTTCTTTCTCCAGACAAGCTGATTAAGTCATGTTCATGCTGTATTATGGTTAGGGTAGCATGTGGCCTGTTAGGTTTGAAGGCAGGTCAATTGCTTGCTTACTCTTAAAAAAATATGTCAGCCATTATCCCAAAGTTAAGGATAAGGGAGGTCAACTGTTAAGTCTGTGATCTCCAAAAACTGAACTATGAATGGGCTGAACTGGGGGAGTTGGGAGGGGAGGCAACCACTTTTGTCTAGAAGCTACCAACAACAATAAATATCTTTTCCCTAGTTAAGGTCTTCAGTGACATTAGCCAATGTGGGGGTTGTTTATTTATTAATGGAAGAATGCTTCAGACTGGCGAACGTAGAAGTGTGGTTCGGGTGTAGAGCACTGGGTTTCTCTACTATGCCGTAGATGGAGCTTCAAATTAAGTACTTAAAATAGGGAATAGGGAGAGGCTGACTGACAATACAGAACTGGGTTTGCTGAACCACTTTTCTAAAATTTCTTCCCCTTTTGCTGTTGAGAGTCAGAAGGATGTAGTATAGCTAGACTGAGAAGTCAAAAACTGATGTAGCTGGAAACCATGCTGAGTGGATTATGGTGAGTGATGAAGGCAGCTTACCAAGGCACCCTGCCTAGTAGGGATTGATGGAACTGACCGTCAGTGCTGGCTTTCAGAGCTTTGCCTGGGGCAGGGTGCAACAAGGCAGAGGGGTCCTTGTCTAAGTGTGGGATTGGCTGATGCTGTTCATCAGCCATAACACTTACTTCTGGACATCCCAGTGGCTTTGTGATCTGGAGGTGGGAGCAGTGAGGGTTGAAACGGGAAGCAGGACATGGTGATGGTTGAATTGAAACCCTCACAGTATTTGAAGCTTCTGCAGTAGAAGTGGTGGAAATCCTGGATTCTTACCCAAACTCAAGCCGCTGTTAGCATCAACAAGTTCCCTGTCCTTTATTTGTATCTATCAATGCTAAAATAGGTCATAATGAAATAAAGAAGACCTGTCAGCTAGAAAGAGTGAGTGAGCAATGGGCTCAGACCCATTGATAATCAGGAAGCCCTGCCACCTCCCCAGCCCCAGTGCTGGCAACCAGGCCAGAGCCCTGAGCTCCCCAGAAGGACAGGACTTCACCGTTGTCAGGCTGGCAGCGAGTCAACTGGTCAAAGCTCTAGTCTCCAGGTGACAGAACAGGGGCCAGCAGACAGCTCTCTGTAGCTCCTCCCTTCTTCCTCCCAGCTGATACTTATGCTAGTTTATTTGGCAATGAGGAACAAGACATTTTTTAAATAAAAACAGCAGGCAGGACAAGAGGGAACATAAATGCACAAAGAAACTGGTTTTAAGGCTGGGCATGGTGGCTCACATCTGTAATCCCAGCACTTTGGGAGGCCAAGGTGAGCAGATCACGAGGTCAGGAGTTCAAGACCAGCCTTGCCAACATGGTGAAACCCTGTCTCTACTAAAAATATAAAAATTAGCCAGGCATGATGGCATACGCCTATAATCCCAGCTACTTGGGAGGCTGAGGCAGGAGAATTGCTTGAACCCGGGAGGCAGAGGTTACAGTGAGCTGAGATCATGCCATTGCACTCCAGCTTGGGGCGAATGGCAAGACTCTATCTTGGAAAAAAAAAAAAAGAAAGAAGCTGGTTTTAGCCCTTGTGGACTATAATTCTTACCCATCTTCCCCTACTCCTAGACAAAGTCTTTTTAACATTGAGAATGTTTAAAGCAATTTGAAAATCAACTTGGCCTATGTATTATACTGAAGATAGGAGATAATGTATTCCCAAGCCCAGAAGATAGTTTGTTCAAGCCAAGATTATTATCCAGGTTCAAAGTAGAAAGGGTCAAAGATTTGGGAGAGAAGGAAGAATGTCTTTTCCAACATTTCATATCATGTAGTGAAAAAAAGAAAAAGGCAAACCTAATTTTTGAGCATAATTCCCAAAGATGGATGTCAACTAGCAGGCTTAAGAAACTCTCTGGGACACTAAGGTAAGTGAACGCCCTCAGCTGCCTTCTGCTTTCCTGTGTCTCCTAGGAAACCATTATGAAGAAGGAGGGCTGATTTGGTAAACTCCCCACAGGCATAAATTGTTGCTTATTCATCTTCATATCCTTTCATGGTGCCTAGCTCAATGATTTACGATAGTGTTGGCTTGGTAAAGATCTGCTGAATCCTGATAGATGAAGATGTGAACAAATGAAACATGACTTGTCAAGAGGCAGAGATTCCACTGAAAATGTTCATGTGGTTTGACAGGACAGCTTGAGTTTGTATCAAGAAAAGAATGTCAAGTTCATTCATTCTTCCTTTCTTGAGTAGTCCATATGGCTGACGGAGTTGGCCATCCATAAATGTTGGAGATGGGTGGGTGTGTCCATAATACCACCTACTCTGTACACAGCAACAGATTAGGTAATGCAAATAGAAAGACGAGGAGGAGGAAACAACCTCAACAGTTGGTAACTGACTCAGTAAATTATGACATCATATCCTATGGATAGCTAAGCAAATGGATTCATAAGAAAGTACCACTTAATAGTGTATCTTTACATATGAGCATTGAGCTATATAATCACAATAGTAATCCAGAGAATCTTAGCAACTAAGAGGGGACTCTCTGATGTAGACATCACATGTCCTTAATATGTTCTAGCGCTGAGGGTCTTTCTAGCGCACTGTTGAATAGTTCTAATTTTTAGAAGGTGTTGAGCTGAAATCTTACCTCTGGAGTTAAAGGGACTAAATCTAAACCCTT